CACAAAAAAAGCGCATTGCTTAAAATGTTCTTCATTTTGCTTTTTTAAGTCCTGTTTTCCATTAAAAATGTCTAAAGATTCTTCTCAGGATACACTGAGTTTGAGGAGTCTTGTTTTCTGAGAAATTTATCAAAATTAACTGAGTTTATGAATAAAACACAAACAAATCTTTGCCAGTGGGCTCAGTGAAATCAACTTAATTCAAAGGGAAAACAAGTTTTCATACCCTATTGACAGATATTAGTTATTGTTTTATGCATTATCTTGCTTAATTTTGTTCAAATTATCAGAAAACAAGACTTCAAATCTTCATTTTGCTTTTTAAGTAACTGTATCTTAATTTAAGGATGTTTATATATTCGCACTGGAAAACAAGACATAAATATGAAGATTTCATTTTTAGCAATGCATGCAACAGTTAATACCATGACTTGGATGAATTTAAGACTTTGATGTAAGACCTTTCTAAGGCCTTAATTTGTGAAAGGGTGAATTTAGACTTTAAGGGCCAGCAGAAACCCTGTTATTTGATCAAACCACCAAAATCTGGCATAAAACTGGTAAAATAGTGAAATGATCTGGCTAAATTAATCAGATGCTAACTTAAACATGCAACATAGTCATTTCATGTGATGACAGTGTACCTGTAGCATACTACAGTTTGTAATATTTAACAATGCACATACTGCATATAGAAATGTTCCAGTTATCCATACCAGAAATGAAAAGACATATGTTGTAGGTCATCCGACATTAAATGCATACGGAAAATCTCCAGAGCATATACTACTGCAAACTGCAGCAATAGTAATTGTAGTATGGTAGTATGCGTTTCTAAACCTTGACTCTGACTCCCCAATTTCTTTCTCTTTTCTTCCTCTGGCTTGGAGTAACAATCCATCTTGAGAGTAATGATTCGGAGGACAGAAAATCAATGCTTCAGGGTTAACGTGAATCTGTTGCGAAGACTTTAACCTCAACACCTACCTGCGTATAAACACAATCAAACACGCATACAACAAACTGTGGGAACAAAAATGTATATCCAAACATACACATTTAATGGAATAGTTCACCAAAAAATATACTCTTTATAATGTCACAAACCCCTAACCGACAGACTTTCTTAACCGAAACGTTACAATTTGATTTGTAAGCAGCTTTTTCCCCAATACGTTATTATATAATTATATAAATTATTGCTTCTCCAAAGGCAGACAAGCTGCAAAAATGCAGAAAAGCACATTTAAAATTGTCCATACAACTTGTGTGCTAAGTCTTCAGAACTTATACAAAGTATTTACTGTTATAGTACTTTTTTGTCCATTTTGTCCAAAGAACAGCATCAACATCATACAGGTTTGGAACAACATGACAGTGAGTAAATGATGACCGTAATTGGATTAAAACTGAAATAAAATTTAATCTAATATTTAGATGTTAAACTTCAACCTAAAAGAAAAATAGAAATGTTGTAAATAACAGAAATAAGCTGAAGTACTCAAATTTCTAAAATAAGCTAAATAGAAATACTAAAAAACAAAAACGAAAAAATGACAAAAGCACATAAAATTTATAAAATATAACTAAAATGAAAACTGAAAATATAAAAATAAAAGCTAATTAAAACCTGAGTAAATACTATGACAACATATACTGTAAATAATACTAAAATAACACTAACTACTACTTCAATCACTGGACAGAACTGGGAAAAAAAGAGACCATGATAAATAGAAGAATGAAGAATACATATCAAGCACAAGAAGTGCATCTGAAAAATTAGTGTAAATATCATGTGGCACAGGTTGAATAGCATTTGTATAAAATATCCAGCGGCCTTTCACTATAAAGTCTTTTTCAAACCTGTCATAAAAAGATGTTGACCTAGCAGCGCGTGAAGACACCTAGTTATTCTTCACTGAATCGCTGTGTTTAAATGTGAAAATTACAGGCCTTCTCTCGCTCCGACCCCGTTCAGGAAACATCTATTATAATTCAATTAAATGCGTCACAACGGAGCCAAATGTCGCATATGCACAACTGAGGCATGCTTACAAATTCAACCATGTTACATCACTTGAGAACCATGAAATCCATCAATCACGCCGATTTGCTATGTGTTCACGTGTGGATAATCTTGGGAAATTAGATGATGTTCAGTCACGTTAATTGTTTGTCATTTGAGCTGAGACCTGCCCTCCCTTTCTCCGCAGGTCACACAGTGGCAGGCGGAGAAATTTACACAGTGCGTTAAACACTGTTATATAAACCCAACCAGAGCGTCTATTGAAGACCTGTAGCTTCTGTCAAGCTGTTGTTATGTGCTGCGGTCGGCTGATAGTCTGCAGTCCTGTTCACTCAATAAGTCATGGCTATTTTAGGGCATTATGTTTCAGACTTCGAATAAACGACCCTGTTTGAAAACAAAAGACCGAACATAAGTGTAACAGAGGGATATTAAAAGGATGGCTGACCAAAAAAATGAATATTTTGCCATTTACAGTACTCACTCTCATGCCATTCCAAAACCCATATGACTTTTTTCTTCCATGAAACACAAAATCTGTAAAATAGCTTAGGTAAAATAAATATAAAAAAATCTAATTTGCATGCGTGCATTTTAAAACTTGTAATGTAATAGTAATTCATGTTTTGCAACCGAAAGTGCAACAGTTTAATTTAATAACGCAACATTTGAGAACTATTGTGTAAATATCAGTAATTGGACTTGCATATAAGTATAAATGTGACTTTAGAAGACTTTGAATATAGTGCACAAGTTGTATGGACTACTTTTATGGTATTTAGAAAGAATTAAGACAAACTGTTGTGGAATTACATACATTATGATAAAAAACATTTTGAAGTGATCTGTCCCTTTAAACACCGTAGAAGCACATTAAACATTCATGAACACACTCATACGCAGGCAAACGCATTCCCAAACACAAACGCATGTGCTGACACACATACATAATATTAGTCCCAGTACCATATCTCCAGCGGTCCCCTGAGGTCCTAAAATGACACACATTTAAACCAGCTGAGGCAGGCCGTACACAAGGCAATATTCAGCCATATAAAACAGAACGTCACAAAACAGCACATCAGTGCAGAGCGCTGAGGGAGGGGAGTGATATTCTGCTGTGGGGCTGAAATATAGTGTGACAGAATGAACGACTGTCTGACAGGGTCTGGAGACAGACAGGTGTAGAGGAAGAGAGACAAAGGTGCAGGAACAGAGGCGAGGACAAACAAGAAGAGGCACGCAGATCATTTTCAGCTGAACTCTGGGAGATTTACGCTGTTTTAATAACTCTATTATTTCCCGTACTAAAGCAGGGCTAGTATTTATGAAGCATCCCAGAGAAAGGGAACTGGTGTAGTCTGAAATATTTCCCAAATAATGCATGAGCGATAACTGGAACAAAAATGGTACCTTTAGGTTCACCCAAAAATGAATGATTTCTTTTGTGAAATACAAAATAAGATGTTTTGGAGAATGATGATTTACCACTGCTCTTTTCCTTACAATAAAAAATGAATGAGGACGGACACTATTGACCTTTAAAAAAAGACAAAAAGCATCATAAAAGTAGTCCATACGACTTGTACATTATATAGTCACATGATGACTTTGTACAAAGAACAGACTACAATTTAAGTACCATTTCAGACCGAATACAATATGAAATCTGTGAGACACGTCTTGATATGGTATATTTGAATATACAAGAATGG